GGGGGAAGTACAGACTGCAACCAGAGAATTTAATGATTGAGGCCATTATGCGCACCCGCTTTCCCTGCCAGTGAGCGACAGGAGCAAATCTCGGGCTCTTTTTGTGGCGACACGCTTCCACAGCAGCTTGCACATTGTGGTGTGCCTGTTGCCCTTTCGGAGCGTGCTCACAGTAGCAGTTCACCGGATGTATCTGTCCTCAATTACGAGCAGTCGTGGATGAATCTGACCGCACCGGCGTCCAAAGAGCAGTCGGAAAAGTTCTAGTGTGAGAGCAGCGCCCTCAGACTCAGATGTTCGATAGCAAGCCATGATGGTGAGCGGACGTAAGCCGGATTCACAATCTCAGGGCAATACGTTTAGGAAGGTGCTATGGTAGTTGCTGAGAGCCGATCACGGCGGATTCACACCCAGTGGCAGTGCAGCATTCCAGTTAACGAGAGGACTCGACACTCTAGCCCACCCGCTATAGCCGAACGCCAAAATTTTGAACGGACGTGGACCGGCGCCCGGTCCAGATACGTTCAAGACACCGTAATATCTGGGCACCGTACAAATTTTGTTGAAACCATTGAGGGCATTCTCACGATTGTGCCTTCCCAAAGGACGGAAAAGACTGTGGAAAGGACAAACGAACGCTCAAGGACACACGTGCGACTTCAAGCACGTGGACGGGACAGTAATAAAACTCCCGACTATATGTCTCATCACACGTGCGCTCACAATTTCTTTGCATGTCGTTGAATTGCATTGCAGAATGTGTCCTTCGGGACATCCGTTAAAATTGGAACGATACAGAGAAGATTAGCATGGCCCCTGCGCATGGATGACACGCATAAATCGAGAAATGCATTGCAGAATGCGCGTACCATAAAAGAAAGAGCGGAAAAAAAAAAAAACAAAAGAAGAAGGATAACCGCAAAAATATTGTTTTTTCGAAGTTTGGCAGCAAAATTGTCGTCCGTTCCAAGTTTCCTTGAGGCCAGAGGCCGAGGGGTCCTTTGCTGTGAAACTAGGCAAAACGCTGTATTTTTATTTTTGCTGGCAAACCACAGGAAGCCGATAAAGCTGCAACGAAACCTCTATTTTTGCAAAGGAAACTGCGAACGGACGACATTTTTGCTGCCAAACTCCGAAACAGCAATATTTTTTTAATTAACCCAAAAAAGAAAGATGACTGAACGAGCAAGCAACGCGGAGAGTGACCTCCCAAGGTGCTATTTTTCTTTTCCATAACTCTTAGCATTGTGGAAGCCAGGGATAATAGAGAGTCGTACGAAAAGACAAGACAATTTCATTCCCGAGCACTCCCGCTCCCATATTTGAGAGAATTCCATCCCAGCAGAGAATGGAAGGGTGGGAGGGGGGAAGGGGGAAAAGGGGGGAGGGAGGGGGGGGGGAAGGACAAAGAAGGAAAAGAAGATATCAGGAAATATCGAAGAGTGTGCGTGCGCCCTCAGGACATGCATGCAATACTAAACATGCACAGCAGATCCATGGGGGCACGCGCGCCGTGCAAGAACGTCACACAGAGAGAGTGAGAGAGACCGAGCGAGCGAGAGAGAGAGAGAGAGAGAGACAGAGAGAGACAGAGAGAGAGAAACACAGAGAGACACAGAGAGAGAGAGAGAGAGAGAGAGAGAGAGAGAGAGAGAGAGAGAGAGAGAGAGAGAGAGAGAGAGAAGGGGACCGATCCGTAATTGGAGAATTTGGAGTCACATGCAGGCAGGAAAGCAGCCGTGCAAGAGCGTCCTCTGAGCACGCATTTTGGGTAATACCCACCTCCGCACAATTTCACGGGGAGCTCGACGCTACATCTTCTACGGGTGTGCAGCGGTAGGCCCGAGCAAACCCCTCTCCGCTGTCTGCCCACAGGACAGACAGGAGTGCAGTCACATTCACGCCATCACCGCAATCACAAATCACATTCCTATGACCACACTGTCACCACAGCCATGACGATATCTCCTTAACCTCACACAGAGATACACACACACACACACACACACACACACACACACACACACACACACGCACACACACACACAGAGACAAAGAGAGAGAGAGAGAGAGAGAGAGAGAGAGAGAGAGAGAGACAGACAGACAGACAGACAGACAGACAGAGAGAC